TTTTTTTTGTTGTTGCAGTTTGGCCAGGGCTGGGCTTGAACCTGCCACTCTCGGTATATGAGGCCAGCGCCCTACTCACTGAGCTACAGGCGCCTCCCACAACTTTCTACCTTTTGATCTAAATCTTCCCATTTTCCCTGCCTCTATTCCACCCTTGGTAACCACCATTTAACTGTTTCTGTGTATTTGATTTTTAAAAATTCCACATGAGGTCATGTGGTATTTCTCCATCTGTGCCTGGTAATGAAACAAGCTTCATTTAGTGTAACGTCCTGTAGCTTCATCTACATTGTTGCAAATGGCAGGATCTCCTTTATTAAGGCTGAATATTCCCTGATGCCTATATACCACATTTTCTTCATCCATTCATTTGTCCATTGGTTTTCATATGTTGGCCACTGTGAACATGGCAATGCAGGTATCTTTATGCGGTGGTGATTTCATTTTCTTTGGGTATAGACCCAGCAGAGAGAATGGTCATAAGGAATTTTGTTTTGCTTTGTTTTGTTTTTGGAAGATAGAGTCTCACTCTGTCCCCTGAGCTAAAGTGAATGGTGTCATGACCTCAGCCTAACAATATTCCTGCCTCAGCCTACTGAGTACCTGGAACTACAAGCACACACCACCATGCCTGGCTAATTTTTCTAGTTTTAGTAGATGGGGTCTCAACTTTGCTCAGGCTGGTCTTGGACTCCTGACCTCAAGTGATCCTCTTGCCTCAGCCTCCCAGGGTACTAGGATTATGGGCCTAAGCCAGCACATCCAGCCTGGAGTTTTATGTTTTATTTCTTTCGGAACTTTCATACTCTTTGCCCATGGTTATTGATGACAGCACTTAATGCTGGCTCTTTGCCTAATAGTAGCTTCCTGTTTCTTTCATTCCTTTCTGCATTTATTAATTGAAATCCTACCATAGGTGAGAGCTATCTCTTTTCCCCCATTCATTGAGTTACCTTTGGAAATAAAGATCACTCAAAGGAGGTCCTAGTTTTGTGATGAACAGTTTCTCCAAGTGGGCAGTGTGGTCTCAGACCCTCCCTCAGGTACACCTTCTCAATAGTCCTCCCTTCTAGGTTAACAAGAGGAGCCACTGGCCAGAACGGTGGTGCCCATGGATAATCCTTCACTTGCTCACCTGCCAGGGCGAGGGCTGCTGTGGGAATTCTGTGCAAATAGCTTAGAAGGGCTGTGGTGTGGTGCCAGCGGACATGGACAGATGAAGTCACTGCACACACCTCCTAGAACTACATGTGTGCTGGGCCCTGTGGGTGACAGGGGGCTAGGGGTGAGTCAGGGGCAGGTACCTAGAGGGGGCTGAACTGTGGTACCCAAGAGATTTGTCTACCTGGAACCTATGAATATGATGCTTTTTGGAAAGAGGATCTTTGTGGATGTTAGTAGGGCTACTTCTTTTATCCTTTTTTCCTCCTGGGACCCTTTGGCCTGGACAATGGGACCCTCACCCTCCCAAAAGTTTGCTGAGTTTTGCCTGTGCTTCCGCAGGGAGGTTCAATGTAGGTTTCCAGGAGGACTTTTATTAGGTCCCCTAACTGTCAGTTTTCCTGCAAAAAGTGGGCAGCCATACTATAGGAAGAATAATTTTCTAAAACTATTCCAGTGGACAGAGAATCTCAGGTCCAGGGTGACATTAGGTCCAGGACTGTTACATATTTGGCCTGGTGGTGGTGCAAGCCCAAAAGCATGTCTCTGTCTCCTGCTGTGTGACCTCATCTGGCTGTTTGACCTCTCTGAGCCCATCTGCTCTGGTGGTACCACATTAAAAAAAATTAAAAAAAAAAAACAGACTATTTTTGATGACCTGACAAGTAAGCCTTTTATAAATGATTAAGCAGTCCACACAGGGACAGTGGCCTCAGAATACAGCTGAGGGCATCCTTCTCTTTGCAGGGAACCACAAAGCAAGACAGGAGAAGACTGTTGGTACTGGCCTTGTACACTTAAGTTCTCAGAGGACTCATAGATGTGTTACAGGCCTGAGCCTGGCAGAGGGAGGGGACAGCTGCCATCTCTGAGGGTACCACGGTATCTCACCATCCCTCTCTATTCCTCCAGGACCAAGTTTCCTGCCAACCCGAGCAGGCCTGGAATGGGTAATGGTGTGAAGGAAGGTTCGGTGCATTTGCGTGAGGATGCCGAGGCTGTGCTGTCTTCACCTGTTTCATCAAAGGCAAGTACTCCAGCCTCCTGGCATAGGTATTCTCTCAGGGTTCCTGCTGTCCTAGCTGGCACCTCACCCTAGCCTCCAGGGCCCCTCCTCCCAGGGCTCACTGCTCCCTTTTTTGTACTCCCTGCATTGCGTGATACATCTGTCTTTATGTCTGCCTGCCCCTACTGAGGGCAGACCAACCGCAGGTGCCTCTCTCTGCTCTATCAGGTTGAGAGGTAGAAGATGCCACATCCCTCCACTGAAAGCACCATTTATGACATGAATCCATCCAGTCCAGCCACCTGGCAAGAAGCCAAAATATCACCTGACATGGGTTGGGAGGCCTGGGATGTCAAAAGGTGTCCTAGGGACCTTTTTACTCCCTCAGATTTTTTTTTTTTTTTTTTTTTTT